CCCCAAGAAGAAAAAATCAGGTATGTTTTTAATACCTCCTACCCTACTCCTTTTGGTAGCAAAAATAACAATTTTGTCAACCTGCCTTCTAGGTGTGGACTATGTTGAAAGCCGGTGTACACAGAGGCATGATGGTGAGGAACATGTATTAGAGACTGTAGATTTGGGTAGCAAAAAGTAATCAATGGCCAACAGATTCTTATTTTTTGTAACAAAAATCAGAAACAATAAGAGTTGAAAAATGTATGTGGTTTTTAGAAAACTTGTTTGCTTTGAGCAAACAGCACTTAGATTGCAGCATCTGTACTGCCACCAGTGGAACTACAGTGATAAAGCACTATTCCAACTTGTTAAGGCAGAAAAGTTGAAAAACTTCAACTTGATAGCATACAAAAAATTTCAGTTAGAATTGTTAAATATTCAAAACTAAAGCAGTGTAACCGACATCAAAAGAGAGGAATTTGGGGCTAGTACCATTGTAACAACTTCATGCACAAAAAAAGAGCAATTGCAGCTTCATGGAGTATTGTAAACCATCGGTTAATGTTAGAGTGTGAGGTCTTTATTGTTCCAGATGTTTCCCAGATATTTCTATAAGATCATTTAAGAACCAGTTTAAGACACGTTCAGGTAACTTTTGAATGATGATGTTTTATGATTTACATTACAACACTAAATGAATTTAATTTCTTTCAAAGTCACTGTAGAAGTAGCGTCTGAGACTAACTTTACAGTTTTAGTGTAGTTTGATGAGCTGTTTAAAAACGGGGAATAATCTGGAGTAAGAAGAAGGTCTACACAACACTGGGTACCCAACTGATAAAATCTTGAGCTGTACCCATGTTGCAGATGTCAGTAAAACACTGCCAGTAACCATAGTCCTGATCCAGTCCCTTCCTACTGCAGTCTTGGCTTTTGCTCAGCAGGATGAACTCTATATTCTTCATTACAGTAGCCCAATTGTAATTTATGGCAGCAGCGATTTTGCTTCACTTACCCTACTTGGTCTTGAGGAGCCAACGTAGGTAACCACGCTGAAATTGAAACTGAACGTTACCACTTACTTTTATAGACGTCGCAAGTGTTTTATGTCTTTCGGGTTCCAGCTTCAGGGTGAATCTCTCCCTGAGCTGTGAAGAAGAAGAAGAAGAATCAGTTCGGTAAGATGCGGGTTACAGTAATTGCGCAAAAGAGCAGAGAAGGAAACGCAGCTGTGTACCAAGGCGTTAGCGTCATTGCCGCCATTTCATTACTCATGATGATGACAACCCTTCTCCGGGTTTGGGCCCTGTCCCGCTCTTTCCCCCTACCTTGAGAACTCGGGCAGTGCGTGAGGGAACACAACCCC